TTTTCCTCGCAATTCTGATTTTTTTCTTGCAACTCTGCCTTTTTTTCTCGCAATTCTGACTAGTTTGTTTGGTCAACTCTGCCAACAGAAATACATCATGCGCCCTCTAGTGGTGTGAAAGAAAATGACAGAAATCCAAATTTTCATATTTAATGAACTGTTATGAAACTGAATAACTACACTAGAGCTGAGACTGTATTCGTTTCATATCTGAGGAACTTTGCAACACTAACTGTTATTTTCAGATCTGCAGTGGAAGAAATGAAGACTTGACTAACCCAGTCCAGAGAGTCGGTGTTGAGCGTGTAACTGGTTTCCTTCCAGTCCGTGTCGCCCTCGGGCTGGAAACTGACCTCTCGGATGGAGAAGATGTCGCTCTCCTCCTCGCCCTCGCCATGACTGGTCTGTGTAGATGTGAAATCCAGTGAGATGAAGGAGAAAACAGAAATCTCTCCACAGTCACACAACAACAAGAGGAATCAGCTCACCTCGTCCTCGGGGAAATGACAGTCGAACACGAGTGAGTTCTTGGCGCCCTGTTTGGTCACCTCAACCACAAAATTAGGCGTCGAGACGATGTCAGGCTAAAACACACAGGACAGACGCGTCAAACACAAGCTAGTCGAGCCACGTCTTTAAAGCAGTGTCTCAAACTCCTAAATAAGACAAAACAAGCATTCAAATCATCTAAAACAACTAAAAATCAAGATGTTATTTCTGTAACAACTCTCTTTCAACCAGTAGGCCTGATTTTAAAAGTGTGATTTCTAGAATATGGAAATTAACTCCATACTGAATATGCATTTTTATAGTTACGCCAAGCTGTAAAATATATTTTATCAAGCGAATTGGGAGTAAGACAATTTTTTTGTGACTTTTCCGTCATTTTTTTCCGCAGATGTGAGTTTTGTATTATATTATACATCTCCAAATTTTGTTTCTCACATTCTGCCTTTTTTCTCGTAATTGCAAATTTAAATCTCACAATTCTGACTATTTCTCAAAATTGTACTTTTATTTATTTTAATTTCATTTTTTTCTGCAATGGCGACTTTTTTCCTCGCAATGGATGTTTCTAACAATTCTGACTTTCTCAAAATTATCCTTATCTTACAATTTTGACTTTTTACCTTGCAATTCTGACTTTATCTTGCAATTCTGATTTTTTTTTTATCCTGCAATTCTGAATTTTTATCTGCAATTCTGAATTTTTTATCTTGCAATTCTGAATATTTATCTTGCAATTCTGAATTTTTATCTGCAATTCTGATTTTTTATCTGCAATTCTGAATTTTTATCTGCAATTCCTGCAATTCTGAATTTTTATCTGCATTTTCATCTTGCAATTCTGAATTTTTTTATCCTGCAATTCTGAATTTTTATCTGCATTTTTATCCTGCAATTCTGAATTTTCATCTTGCAATTCTGATTTTTTTTATCCTGCAATTCTGAATTTTTATCTTGCAATTCTGAATTTTTATCTTGCAATTCTGATTTTTTTATCCTGCAATTCTGAATTTTTATCTTGCAATTCTGAATTTTTATCTTGAAAATGTGAATTTTTATCTTGCAATTCTGAATTTTTATCTGCAATTCTGAATTTTTATTTTGCAATTCTAACTTTATATAAAATGTTAAACATGTTATTTTATGTTGTAACCTTTATTTTCTAAAATCTCCACTTCACTACTGTAACATCACTTAAAAATTAAAATGTTAACGACTTGAGCAGTTTAGGGAATTTAAGTATCTAGTAATCTCAGTTTCATTGGCTGTTACACAATAACTTGCAGTGCTTCACTGCATTAATGTAGTTGCATTTCCATTACAGATATGCGCAAAAAGTTTTTTTCTAAATATCGATAAAAAACGATTGCGAAATGACGGTGTTTCCATTAACCAATGTTATGCGACTAAAACAAAATTAGCAAGGAAAGACCCGTATACTGTGAGCGGCTCATGTGAGGAGTTTCTGCTCATTTCTGCCTCCAGCTCGTGATTGGTTCATTTCTTTGAGGTTTAGAATCCAGTATTCCTGTAATTCTTTTGTCTACGTCAGGCGACTGTAAATGCGCACAAACTGTTTTCTTTGCAGTTTTGCAATATATAAATTTTTCAAATTGCCTGAAAACCGCCTCATGCGAGCGGAAAAACTTTTTTGCAATAAACGGGAGTTTTTGCGAAATTGACGTGTTTCCATTGTGCGCAATTTGACGGCTAATGGAAACGCGGCTAGTGACGATACCTCTTCCTCCTGACCCTTCTGCGTTTGCTCGTGCTCTTCCTCCAGCTGTGGCGGGATGCTGTTGTTCACATTGAACGTGACGGTGACTCTGTCAAACACACACACATCACACATGACGTAATATTACAGCGGAGGACACGAACGATCATAAAAGCTCTGAAACGCATTCGTACTTTTCTCCGGCCAGCGAGCGGATGAGCTTCGCTTCTGTGCCGTTCAGTTCCAGCTCCCACCCGCCGGACATTTTAGGAAGAGTCGCGTTCTTCTGGATCTTCTTCTCTTCTTTGATTTCATCAGCGAGAAACTCTGCAAACGCTTTATCGCCTGGAGGATAAACACACACATGCAGGATTTACTAACAACACTCGTGAGTCGTGATGAATGAGATCTCATTGGTCGGTTAAGGTGACGTGTTGTTGTTCGTCTCCACTTGTTGAGATGCTCTGATGATGCATATGCAAATATTGCACGATATGACATCACCTTTAATATTATGGAATAATCCAATTTATCTGGTAACTTTTTACGAAATTTTTTTAATTAGGCGTTGTTGATTTCAGTTAGTAAATTTGTTAGATTGGATTTTTTTGAAAATATATATATCTCTATAGTGTTTATTATGGAAGCATGTTTCCACCACAGAAAAAATAAATAAAAACTTTATATTCTTCTAACTTTTTTCTCACAACTGAGAGTTTATATTTTGCAATTATGACTTTTTCCTCGCAATTCTGATTTTTTTCTTGCAATTCTGACATTTTATCCTCGTAATTCTGACTTTTTTCTCGCAATCCTCACTTTTTTTCCCACAATTCTGACTTTTTTCTTGCAATCCTCACTTTTATCCCTCGCAATTCTGACTTTTTCCCACAATTCTGACTTTTTTTCCCACAATTCTGACTTTTTTTTCTCACAATTCTCACTTTTTTCCCCTCGCAATTCTCACTTTTTTTCTCACAATTCTGAATTTTTTCTCGCAATTCTCACTTTTTTCCCCTCGCAATTCTCACTTTTTCCCACAATTCTGACTTTTTTCTCGCAATCCTCACTTTTTTCTCACAATTCTCACTTTTTTCCCCTCGCAATTCGGACTTTTTTCCCACAATTCGGATTTGTTTTCTCGCAATTCTGATTTTTCTTCTCACAATTCTGACTTTTTTTCCTCGCAATTGCGATTCTGACTAATTTCCTCACAAATGTGAGTTTGTTTCTCACAATTCTGACTTTCTCCAAATTTTAATCATATCTCACATTCTGACTTTTCTCGCAATTGCGAGTTTAAATCTCACAATTCTGACTTGTGATACAAACTCACAATTTCATTTTATGAAGTCAGAATTGTGAAATATAAACTTTATATAAATTGCGAGTTCTAAAGTCCAATTCTGAGGGGAAAATAACTTTTCACAGAACTGCTGTTTTTATATCTGACTTTATAACAATCAAATTGTGAGTGTACATTTCGCAATTCTGTGAAAAAAGTTACAATTTTGAGATGTAAACTCGAAATTGTGGGGAAAAAAAGCAAGAATTTCGGGATAATAAGTAGCAATAACCTTTCCCCCTTCTAATTCAGTGGAGGAAACAAGCGTCCATAGTTTTTAATAATGTTTATTAAGTATATCAAATTAAAATAAAAAAATGAAAACGAGAAAAGTACAGAGCCCCTGCCAAAAGGGACCTTTGCAAAAATAAAAATATACAGACTCCAAACTATAGCTGAAACTCCAAAAACTAGCTGAAATATTAGTTTTATATTGTATTTTATTTCAATTGACATATTTGTTTAGTTAACTCTAGTTTCTCCCCTCTGTACCTAAATTAATTGTACTCATCTACCATAGATGTATAGTAAAAGTACAAATTTTAGAGTTAGCCTCAACACATCTCAAGCTTATATCTCTTCCAATTCTAAATGTATCTCAAAATTCTGACTATTTCTCTAAATGTTGTGTATATCCCACATTCTGACTTAGAATTGCCATACAAACACACAATTGCATTCTATAAGTGACATAAACTTCTAAACTCCAATTCTGAAGGAAAAAACTTTTTTTTTTCAGATCTGTGAGTTTTCATATCTGATTTTATAACAGTTTATATTATGCAATTCTGTAAAAATAAAAATAAATTTTAAAAAGTTGTGAGATTTTAACTCCAAATACTAACTTAGCTGAAATATGTTTTTAATGTTTTATTTCAATTGACGAAATTGTTTTGTGGTTTAGTTAAATAAAATAACCCTGGTGGTAACTTACTAACGTTATATTGGTCTTGTTTCTCCTCTCTGACCAGCTTATTAAAAGTTAGCCTCTCTACACATCCACCATAGAAACGACATAACACTTTACCTAACACTTTTAGTAGTGTGTGTGTGTGTGGAGAAGCGCTTACCCTCGGTGTGCAGACTCCCGCAGCCGCAGGACAGTGTGGGCAGCGCCCGCGTCGCAGTGAGGAGCCTCGGCCTGGACCCCGACGACGCGCCGCTGCTGCCGCTCAGGCTCCAGATGGACCGGCTGAAGGTTCTGCTGAGACGCGGCGCGGCGCTAATCGCGCTCGTGGACGCGGAGCTCCTGCTGGACAGACGCGCCGCGAGCTGGACCGCGCGACTCACAGACTTCAACATGACTTCGGTTCTTCTGAGAGGTGCTGACCGCTGATCACACTGACAGTCTCACACACACACACACGTGGGAAAGGACACCGTGACCTCAGCACTCTACACCGGAAGTGTTCCCTACAGGAAATGAGTTAAAAGTCCCACACGCTGTCAACAACACAAACACGTGCTTCCAGTAACTACAGGCTACATAACGTCATCTACGTTGTTTTATTTTTTATTTAACGTTAATAGTTCGATTTTCTAAAGTAGTCATGCAGTTGTGTGGAGTTTGCAGCGAACATGTTCCTAAATACAGATGTCCGGCCTGCAGAATCAGATAGTAAGTATTCATGTTCGATTGTTTATATCTATATCTTTTGCTTTTTAGATGTTACAATTATTGTTAATTAAATAACACATTTCTTTTTCTTCTAGTTGTTCAGTGAGTTGCTTTAAAAGACACAAGGATGATGGTACGTACTATATTCGATTTATAAATATTCACATTTACGTATTTGGCAGATGCTTTTATCTAAAAGACTTGCAGTTCCCTGGGATTCGAACCCATGACCATGGCGTTGCAAGCGCTATGCTGTACTGATTTATCATTAATTTAATCAAATAATAATGCATTATTATTAGTATTATCATTATAATACTACTGCTGCTACAAATGCAATTGTTGTTAAAAGTTATGTTGGCTAGATAAAGCCAACATTCTGATCTACTCTTTATTTCTTCTTCTTCTGAGACTTTAAAGATTTTAAACAGTTTTTCCTCCTAGAGCTTTAAACTCGGTTCAGATCTTCAGACTGTTCTGACTCTGTTTGCTGGATCTTTTCTATCTGATCCGACTTATGATTTTCGCTAAGCTAGCACTAGCTTGACAGGGATGTGTTTAAGTCCCCTTGTGGTGAAAAGCTTTTAATGTTGCTTATGTGTCTATGTGGTGTTTTTAATACGCTTTAAGACAAATCATGTGTAAATTCATTAGTCGACAGCATTGCTGAGTATTTTCTCCTTAAAAATGTGAACCAAAAACACTGTTTGAATTCGCTGGTGTTTCTGACGTCACAAACGACCTTGTAAGTCAACCAGTGGATCTCTGAGTGAGTCAGTGGAGGCGGGGCTCATTTGCATATTTATAGAACTGTGTATAGTAAATAGTTATGCAATTTTGTTTATAGAGTTTTTAAGTGATAAAATTACCGACTACAGGGGGACTTTAACTCATGTTAGCGATGCCGATCAACGTGTTAATTCTAGCAATGAGCCAAAACATGCTAACAATAAATGTGCCAATTCAAGCTAGCAACATGTTAAATCATATTAGCAACATTGTTAAATAATGCTAACAACATGCCAACTATTTTTTGCATCGTGCTAATCATGCTAACAACATAATAATCATGATATCAACACGTTACCAATGTGTTAAATCATGTTACCAACATATTAGCAACATGAAAATCATGTTAGCAACATCTTATTCCAGCAAACATGCTAACAGTGTGTTAAATCTTGTTGTTAACATTAACATGTTGTTAAATATGTTAGCAGCACCACGTTAGCAGTCCGTTAAATAATGCTAGCAATGTGTTAAAACATGCTAACAATATCCTAATTATGCTAGGAACATTTTAAAACATGCCAGTAACATTTTTTGTATTTCTTTCTCTGTGTAAAACACATTTTAACTTTTAATATTTTTGAAGTTTTTTTGAAACGTTCAGACCTGGCTAGTTAGTTATGTTCTGTCTTATATATAAAAAAACAAGACAATGTAAGCTTTTATTTCATTTTGCTCTGATAGATTCATGTCACCCAATTAAAGAGCCCGATCCAGCCTCCAGCACCCCGACCCCAGTGCGCAGCGGTGAGTGAATCACACACACACACACACACACGTTATAGATGCCAAAAATCAACAGCCATATTGCATTACATCAAGATGTAAATGTGTTTGATTTCAGCCGAACAGCCGTGGGTTGTTGAGGATCTCCTTGATGAAGACAGCCAGACAGACAAAGTGCCGTTACAGAAACTTCAGCAGCTCGGTATGTCAGGGATGATGAGTAAATATTGATCCGAGTTTAAATATCGTAATTAGGTCTTTAAACGCAAAGCTAGCATTACAAGTTCAAACTACACGGACATTTAAGAGATACAGTATACACTAATACCACTTATTACACAGACTTTCACCACATAAACAATTATGGCGATAAGAGAGATTGATATTGGATTAAACTGTTGGATTATGAGATACAAACAGGTATGATTTTAAAACGGTTTACAAAATAAGAGTCACAAAATGGCCGCCGCTGCGTTTGTACAAAACGAGAGTGCGAGTTCACGATACTGAAAAAAAAAAAAAAAAAAAGTTCACGATACTGGATGGCATATTTAAAGGGATAGTTCACCCAAAAATGAAAATTCTATCAGTTTACTCACCCTCAAGTTGTTCCAAACCTCTGTTTATTTGTTCTGCTGTACACAAATGAAGATATTTGTAAGAATGTTTTAATTAAACAGATCTCAATCCCCATTGACTTCCATAGTATGTATTTTTTCCTACTATGGAAGTCAATGGGAATTGAGATCTGTTTAATTGAGATCTGTTTGTGTTTCCCTCACACAGGAGATTCAGAGGCGCTGAAGGATCTGTTGAGGAATCCTCATCTCCGACAGCTGATGATGGCAGTGGACTCGGCCGGAGATAAAGCCAAAGCCATGAAAGACGCCATGCAGGAGCCGCTGTTCGTGGAGTTTGCGGATCAGTGCTTAAAAATTATTGAACCTACGCAAACAGACAGTGTCGATGACGGATACTGATTTCATTGAACTCTTAATGAGAAACACACATCATGACAGTCCATTGGGTTTTGTTTCAAACAATCTGAGTGATTTACACTTATGTCTGATAAACATACTCAAATAGCTCAAATGAAATTTGTTGCATTAGCATGTTTCTCAACATATTACTGAGCCTTTGTGTTGTCACACATGCACTATTGCATCCAGTCGTTTATAACACGTCATGCATTTTATAATAAATGTAAAAAGACACCAAAAACAGAACGTCTGTAATGATTTTTATTTGAATCATCAAAGTTTGACAAAGTGTTTTATTGGTTTGTTAAAGCAGTTCCTGAGCACAAACAATAAACAGGTTTTGTTGATTAATGCCCTGAGATTAGAAATATTGATTATTTTTGGTAATCATTGCATATATTTCCTATTCAAAAACACCTATGGAATGTTGTGTAGTCGATTTGCTAAATAATCTGAACTATAAATACATATGCAAATAGTACATTAATTCAGTGTGCTTTGGTAAGAGCATTAACAGCAATGCCGAAACTACAGCTTTTCCCAGTATTTTATGAATAAAGAATAAATATATCATGCAAAGTGTACAAAACTTGTCTTTATCAATACTATGTTCTCCATCATCTCAGTAATTCTAAATATCATTATTGTACCATGTTTTAAGGTGCTCTATGTAGAATTAAGAAACTCTTGTTTGTAGCGACACCGGTGGCCGTTAAGTGAACTGCAGCAGCAGCGATGATCACATAACGCACAAGAGACTGAACCGTGATTCAAGACCCAGATAAATTCGTTCTCCACTTAGAAGTGAAAAGAAGTCGGAAATAGCTTTGCAGTGATTTACTGTTAACGAATATCCCGCCAGAGAGCCACGTTTAGATGATTATGTGAGTATGTGCTGCTCTTTCCTCTCAATAACACAAACACACACACAGAAATGAGAAAGCATCTGATCATAGAGATGTGGAGATCAGCGACAAATCACACAGTTATGATAGTTTGATTATAGAGTATATTTGACTCTATAGATTGACTATATGAGACTATACTTTTCTTTGACGACTCATTGACATTACAGTCCAGAACGGCTCTTTCACTATTATCCTGAACATTGTATAAGCATTAGTGTCAGTGAACACAAGAGAGGCTCTCGGGAGTGTGTATAAAACAAGCATCTGCGATTTTCCCGCCAAAAACGTCCCGAGTCCTAAACATAAAAATGAACTAGGAAAGTCAAGTTTCGCTACAAGCTGTTCATACATTGGCAAAAAATGATCATACATAATTATACTTACATATAGCCGTTTTAAAACATTATTTTGATCAGTTTGTACACTGATATTAAAGACCCCCAGCGGATCAGGGTAATCCGAGCTAGTGTGAGCGAGAGGAGGCGGGGCTAATTAGCATATTCATTAATCCGTATAAGGGTATCGAGTTACATTCTAGCTATTTTAAGGCATTAGGAATGTATTTTAAATATGTAATTTTGGTGATCAGAGAAGAGTTTTAACGCATCAAATTATTGAGGACGGGGGACTTTTATACAAATCAAATTAAACACCAGAGTTTGGGATACATCAGCAGCACATTATATATAAAATATATTCACGATATAAAGCTGTGCAAGTAACATTATTCAAATCATAACAGAAAATGCTAGTATAAAATAAAGTCATAGTTATAAAACGAATTAAAAGGCACTTGTGCTTCATGCTGAGAGAGGGTAGATGCAACTAAACGCTGAATTGCACTAACGATAAGGCAGCTAAATGTTTAATATCACTCGATGTAGTGTGTTTCAAAGGTGCACTGATTGCATGAGAGCTTTTAGCAGCATGATGAGAAGAGGAGAAGTGCGGTCAGGTTTTCTCCAGCAAGATCTGGTTGAACCCGGTCACCACGTCGGCCTTGTGCACCGGGTGCCTGTCGGCGTACAGAAGAGGAGATCTCTGCAGATGCATCTTAATGGACCCCTGTCAAAACAAGCAGCCAAAGCAATTAAAGCAGGACTTTTATTTTGTCTTCACAAGGATTTCCTTTGTGTAGTCAATGTCCACACAATCCATCCTAAACAGTGTGTGAGATTAGAAGAAGTGTGTCACAAAGCATAGTACGTTATCTATTATTTCCGGTGGATTTTCGAAAAGCGTGGATCCGTGCTCACTATAACGGCTAATATTACCCACAATCCACTGCGCGTCGGAGGAGGAACTACAAACGACACGAGTAAAACGTTAAAAAACTACAAAACATGGCAGACTGTCAATCTTCCACTATAATACTATTCGAATTCCATTCCTTATTTTACTTAACATTCAAATATTAAATGCTCAAATTCATCCTATTATTAATATTTACGACATTACTCAGGCTTATGGATCGCCAATGCCACTATAGCATGTGGTTGCTTTAAGACACACCATGTGTAAGTTCATAAGTCGCTGAGTATTTTATAGAGCCCGGCCGATAAAGGATTTTGAAGGCCGATGCGGTTTTAAAATCCGATATATCGGCCGATATTATTTTTATTTTTTTATTTCAGAAACGCGCAACGAAATATTAACAGATTTCCCTAACATTAGTTATTTGTAGTTATTTATGAGTTAACTAAAATAATATGATAATGCATTTTAAAAAGAAACTTGTTTCTATCGTCACAACAGAACAGAGGAACATCAAAATATATTAAAGTTCTGATAAACAAAATTAGTCCCTACGTTGCTTTATAAGCTACCTTATAATTACAATGTCAGCTTGCTTATCCCTTTGCCTGCACTTTTTAAATTTTTTTCCATCAAGCTACATCGAACCATTTTCAATCATCAGTTGGTAGTCAGTCAAGTCAAGTGTAGAGCGCCCTCTGGTGGACAAACTATACAACTCCAACACTCATGACATGGTTGAAGCGTGATTCGTCGGTTTTTATTTTATTTTTAAATATTCATTTATCGGCCATTATAACTGCCGATACCGATATTTTAGAAAATGCCTAATATCGGCCGATAATATCGGCCTGGCTCTAGTATTTTACAGTATTGCACCAAAGACAGTCTCAAAAACACGCTTTGAAATCGCTGGTGTTTCTGACGTCACAAACCACCTTGTAACCAATCAGATCAACGTGTGATCGTCAACCAGTGGATCTCTGAGCTGAATGAGTGTGGAGGCGGGGCTCATTTGCATGGTGTCGAGTTACATTCAAGCTATTTTAAGGCATGAATGAAAAAACTTTTAAATATGTAATTTTGTTGATCAAAGATAATTATTCTTAATTCTTTTCAGCAGGAAATACTCAGCAATGCTGTCGACTTATGAACTTACACATGGTTTGTCTTAAAGGATTAGTTCACTTTTGAACTTTTGCTGATAATTTACTCGCCCCCATGTCATCCAAGATGTCCATGTCTTTCTTTCCTCAGTCGAAAAGAAATGAAGGTTTTTGATGAAAACATTCCAGGATTTTTCTCCATATAATGGACTTCAATGGGAACCAAACGGTTCAAGGTCCAAAAGAGAGTTAATATGCAGCTTCAAATGTCTTTAAACGACACCAGACGATGAATAAGTGTCTTATCATGCGAAACGATCGCTTATTTCAAAATTTATTTCAAAAAATTTAACTTTTCTAAAGACAAATGCTAGCCTTGCTCTATTCTGTGAGGCGCGTTTGTAACGTCACGTAGTACGTAATTACGTTCAAAAGGTCACGGGCGACGTAGCCGGAAGTACAGAGTCAGTGTTTACAAGTTGAACGCATAGGTTGAACGTGCAAACTAACTCAAACGCCGTTTACAAAAAAGTAATTAAAAGGTAAAACAACGATGTCGGACGATTTTGACTCTGTACTTCCGGCTACGTCGCCCGTGACCTTTTGAGCGTAATTACGTATTACGTGATGTTACAAACGCGCCTCACAGAATAGAACAAGGCTAGCATTTGTCCTTAGAAAAGTTACATTTTTTGAAATAAATTTTGAAATAACCGATCGTTTCGCATGATAAGACCCTTATTCATCGTCTGGTGTCGTTTAAAGACATTTGAAGCTGCATATTAACTGTCTTTTGGACCTTGAACCGTCTGGTTCCCATTGAAGTCCATTATATGGAGAAAAATCCTGGAATGTTTTCATCAAAAACCTTCATTTCTTTTCGACTGAAGAAAGAAAGACATGGACATCTTGGATGACATGGGGGTGAGTGAATTATCAGCAAAAGTTTTTTCAAAAGTGAACTAATCCTTTAAAGCGTATTAAAAACACCACGTAGACAACATTAAACACTCGATTTTCACCACAGGAGGAATAATTTGTGGCCACTCAAAGCTTCTACCCTCATGTAAACGTAGTATATTGGAAAAGTCTCTTACCCGCGGCTGAGCTCTGATAGACGCCACACCCTGTTCAAACTGGTTGGTCTCTACTTTGTATTCATCTTGTCTGAATGGGATCTTCAGACAGGCCATCATGGACATGATCCGCTGGAAACCAGTGGCCGTCAGAGACACAGTGATGGTGGGAGCAGAAGCGATGGCCAGCCCGATCGGCCAGCTTCGGACCATGACGGGCTCCTGGATGCTGTCGAGTTGTACTGACCCTCTTTCCCTCAGCAGAGGATCCATCTTCGGCAACACACATGACTCTTCCTCCATGAAATCCTCAGCATCATCCAGCTCGGCCTCAGCTAACGCATCCATCCACGCCTATCGAGAAGGAACGCACAAATTTATTTCCCAAAAATTAAAAATTATATGTAATATTTTCCTTCTGAAATGATTAATCGGGATTAATCACATCCAATATAAATGTGTGTACTGTGTATAATCATTTTGTTATACAAACACACATGCATGTATATATTTACAAAATCTTTGCATGTATATACTATATAAATATTTTATATACAAATAACATTTTTGAAAAAGACATGCATTCAATTCCCAATGGATAAAATCAAGTCCTGCCAAACACTTAAAAACCAGCACAATGCTTACTCTCCAGCGCCTCCATTTGGTTTGGATGACCGTTGCAGCTTTGTGCCATTTCTTGATTTCACTTCTGACCCGCCAGGATCTCAAACCTATGATAAAGAGACACATAAAGTTGAGTTAAAAACACCGTATAATACTATACGAATACTGGATAGAGCCATTTGTCATAGGGGTTGAACAACTTCATATTTTATTATGTCGACATTTATGTGATCAAAGTCGAGTCGACTAGTTGCTGATGGCGTCATTAAAGGGGTGGTTGATTATGATTTCACTTTCTTAACTTTAGGTAGTGTGTAATATTGCTGTTTGATAATAAACAACATCTGCAAAGCCACGACGCTCAAAGTTCAAAGCAAAAGGAGATATTTTCTTTTAAAGAAATGGCCTTTTATGGAATTTACACAAGATTCATCCCGGGTTAGTGACATCACAACTCTAAAATCTACATAAACCCCGCCCCCGGGAATGTAATTTATAGATTATCATGACAGAATATGCTAATCAAGGACTAGAACTGTTCATCAACTAACCATTCAGAAATATCTGTCTGACATATTACGGTTTTCAGGACACAAGCTCTTGAAGCTCCGCCCCC